GACTTCGCCCAAAAGAGGAGGTATTGATTTCTAAGGGTTCTTAGCAAGAAAAACAATTGTGAGAAAGTACTCTAAACATCTTTCTTCTTTTCTTTTGATTTTATGATGAATTCAATCTTAGTTTATTCTCCCATAGTCATGAGTAGCTAAATTCCTTGTCTAAGGCTTTGATGGACCCTATTGAGTGATGAACTTCTTCTTTATGTGAATACAAATTGCTAGTTAAATCTTTATTTGTTCAACTTCGTGTTCGTTGTAGTTAATTGACAGGATCCTCGATTAGTTGTGCCTATTTAGTGTGCATAACTTGGAAAAGAGTGTATATTTAGGGTATTGTTGAACAACACCACTCCTAGATTATTAGAGGAATCTATAATTGCGGGTTTAAAGGCGGGATTAGGAATAACGAAGCCTTGGGTGCAATTTAAATTGAATTGTGCGAATTTAAGCAAGCTAGTGTATCTCGGGAGAGTGCAATAGTAGATTACTGTGATTACTCGGGAGAGGTTTGCGGTAAGATTAGCGTTCAAGATTGATAGAGATGTGTGGGTAAATTTGTATGAGCATAAACAGAAGGGATTTCATCAATAGGGGAAATCATTGCCTTAGCCTTTTTTCATAATTGTTTACAACCCTTCTAATTTAGTTATAGCCTTTTATTTACTTGCAAGTTAGTTATTAAAGAACAATCAACTGAGAATTTGAATATTTGGGAAGCTGGTTCTGAAGACTTTGTGGGTCTGAAGGTAGCAGTTGATAGGTTAACTCTCTGTGGGATTCGACTCCGGACTTGTAAACCGGATTATATTTGCAGCGACCGCATTGTCCTTTTATACGGCATAGTTGGGTGTGATCAAATAACATTACTGAATGGGGTGCCAAGACTTGAGCGATATGCAAATGAAAATATGCAATTGATTTAGTCAACAAAGCTATTCCCCCGATACATATTAATGTCATGTACAATTAATTCATTAATTGATAATATGCTAGAATTACATGTAATTGAATATGTCTTACCCCTACATTGGTGTGCTTTTAGGTGTTTTGAATGTTGAAAGATGACGAATTGAGCTTAATTGTTGAAGTTTGTTATCTAGGAAGCCAAGAGTGAAGAATAGAGGTGATTTGAACAATAATGAAGCTAAAAGGCAATTTTTTAAGAAATGGAAAATCGGATCAGGCAGTGAAGTAACTTCGAAAAGTACATGGAAAGCACAGAAAAATCTGGAAAACACAACCAGGCCTGTGCGAAGCCCAACTATAGCACAAGGGCAATTTGCCTGTATTTTAACTTGAGGGGCAACTTAGTCAATTGGCTTAGGGACGTGATATAAAAGCTTCTAACCCTTATTTCAGACATACGCTTGACCTGAGAAGGCAAGAAACACCATTGTTGATGCAAAGTTGAGCTCGAAAGATCCTCAAGTTCATTCAAGAAGACGAATCGAAGAGTTTCTCTCTACTTTTCTATCTTTATTTCTATGAATATTGGTTTGACAATGGTTTATGTATTTTTGAGTAGCTAAACCCGTCATCTAGGGTTGATGGAACCAATTGTTGGATGAATTCTTGATTGCGTATTGATATAATTGAGCCGTTTTTATTCTCTAACTGTTCAACTATATGCTTCGTGTGATTGATTGAATGGCCCTTGATTAATCGTGTCTAGTTATCTTGTGTTGCTTGAGAGAGAACACTTGATTAGATTGTTGTTGAACAACGACACTTTTGAGTAAGTTAAGAGATTAATTACTTGGATTTAAAAGCGGGATTAGAGATAACAAAGCTTTGGCGTGATCTTTATGAGTTGTACGAATTGTCAGCTAGAGTAATTCAAGAGAATACTTCTAGTAAATTATCGTAATTGATCGAGAGATAATTGCAATAAACAAGAACTCATAAACGAGATTATAGCTAGCGTGTTAGGAATTAATCCGGCAATTGGGAAAATCATAAACCCTAGACCTTTTTATCCTTGATTCAACCTCATTCTTGCTAGTTGATAGTTTTTATTGTCCTTTTTTCTTAATTAAGTAATTTTCTTTAATTCATAAATCAAATCTTGAACTCCGGAAGTTGTCTGAGCTTATCATTAGTGATACTAGAAAGTTGTATCAAATACGTTGGTTCTCTGTGGAATTCGACTCCAAAATCTTAGACCGGATTATATTGCAGCGGCCACTTAATCCTTTTTATAAGACATAGCTGGCGTGATCATTAATCAATTGCATTAAATGTCAAGGCTTCTATAACCAATATAAACCTATTCCAAGTGCATTTATTTATCATAAAAAAATCACAATATTCCAAGTGGAGGCTTTACAACGAAAATGCAACTTAGGTAAATGCTTATTTAAGTCAATCTTTATTATATACCTTAATTAATGCACCGATATTTCATCTTTAAAAAGTGATTTTGACAAAAGTTGAAAAAAAGAAAAAAGAAAAACTAGGAATCTCTTGTCTAAGTAAACATAAGATATTTTAGATACGTTCTCATAACAAGGCCTCTGCTTTTTCGCCACAAACAACAAATTGCTTTATTTTATTCCATCACAATGACTATTAAAATGTTTTGTTTACATTGCTATAAGAGTAGTTCAAAATAGTTCTATTAACGTAAATAGTATAGCATAGGAATATACCCGGCCTGAAAAAAGGCTACGATTTAGTGCAAATAACAAAATAAATGGACGATAGAGACAGAATCCTTGGTGGTCTAAAATCCAATTTAGATCAATAATATCCCATACTATCCGTTATTATATAGATGTAATTAATCTGTTATAAATTAGCCACATAAGAGAACAAAGATTCATGAAAAAGAAAATTATATTTAATAGAATGTGAGTGCTTTTGTTTTGATAGAAAAATAAAGTGGAGAAAACAAGAGAAAAGTACTTTTTTGTCCATGTATATCAGGCCAATAGCCTATTTCTAACTTTAAATATCGATTTTCGATGAAAAAAACTATTTTAACAAGGAGGGAAATTGGAAAAAATTTACAACTTGTTTGGATAGTTGTTATCCATTGTATTATATTGTATTGTTATTCCAAAACAATGCTTGTTTTGATTGTTTATTTAAAACAAGTCGTATCGTATTGTTAAATTCATTGTTCCGGCACAACCAAAAGTCCTATTTTATGAAACAACCGATTTGATGTGGTGGGATCGTTTCCTATTTTCTTTTTCAATTGTGCCCTTACTTATTATTTTATAATTTTATTTATTATTATTATTATTATTATTATTATTATTATTATTATTATTATTATTATTATTATTATTTAACTCCAAATCTCCAACCTATTGACCTACTTTGTCTTCTTCCATCTTTTCTAGAGTTGGTTTGCCCCGTTCTTTTTATCCAAGTCTTCGTTCAATTCTGTGTCTCTTTCCATCGTTTTTTTTTGTTGCTAATATTAGTCAACCTTTTTTTTCCAGGTCTTTGCTCTTGTTTTCAAGCTACATAATTAATCATAAATTAGTAGAAAGAGGTTGTCTTAAATTATTTTTATGTGTAATTCTTGATAAATTTTATTTAAAATAATTGGGGATATTTTAGTGAACTTATCAGTTACAGTACAGTACGATACAGTCAAACCAAACAACAAAATGTTATTTAATAATAACATAAAACGATACAATATAAAACGATGGATAACAATGATCCAAACATAGTGTTAGGTAACCGAAAAAGACAAAAAAAAGTAAAAGAAGAAAAGAGGGAAATACATTTTTTATATGTACGAGATATTTACATTAATGTAAAAAAAAGGCAAAATACCTTAAACCACCCCTAAACTTGGCTAAGATTATTAGTTTCCTCCCCGAACTATACCCAATCTTAATTACCCCCTCAACTTGGCCTTTTGAGAGTCATTACCCCCTTAGACGCTGATGTGGCAAAACGTGTGAGTGCACTCGCCTGCCACGTGGATTTTTCTGTCTTTGTGGCACTTTTTTGAAAAATAAAATTTTTTTTACCTTTTTAAGAATATTACTTTTTTAGATAATTCTTTTAGAATAAAATTTATAATAAAACTTGGACATAACTATATTATGTAGGGTAAAAAATTTTATTTGGCCAAAGCTAATAAAGTTTTAGTTAATCTTTTTTGAATTTGACCTGAAAATAAAAATTTATTCAATTGAAATAAATAGTCAAGGCATCTAAAAAGTTATAAGAAATACATAGTTGAAATGAATAGTCATTGCATCAAAAGAAGAAATAAAAAGAGTGTACAATTGCACTTGTAATTTCTTGCAATTGTACACTCTTTTTATTTCTTCTTTTGATGCAATGACTATTTATTTCAACTGTGTATTTTTACTTTTTTAGGTAAAATCTATAAAAAAAATAAAAAAAATTAGAGCACCGTAATTTAGAGCTAAATAAAAATTATAGCCAAAATAGTTAATTTCAAACTATGTATTTTTTATAACTTTTTAGATGCCTTGACTATTTATTTCAATTGTATAAATCTTTATTTTCAGGTCACATTCAAAAAAAGATTAACTAAAACATTATTATTTTTGGCCAAATAAAAATATCTAGCCTAAATAATATAGTTCTATCCAAGTTTTATTATAAATTGTATTCGAAAAAAATTATCTAAAAAGTAATATTCTTAAAAAGGTAAAAAATTATTTTATTTTTCAAAACACGCCACACAGACAGAAAAATCCACGTGGCAGGTGAGTGCCACATCAGCATATAGGGGGTAATGCCTCTCAAAAGGCCAATTTAAGAGGGGTAATTAAGACCGGGCATAGTTCGAGGAGGATATGTATAATTTGAGCCAAGTTTAAGGGTGATTTAAGGTATTTTGCCTAAAAAAAAAAAAAAAAAAAAAAAAAGGAGAGGAGGGAGTATTTAAAACAAACAGGGACAGAATTGTCATTTAGCAGAAGTAGTAACGGAACAAGTTTCTTTTTCCCCATATATAACTAGGCCGAAAAGACAAAGTTCACGTACCCGCTTGTGCGTAGCTGTAATTAGCAGCAGCAGCAGCAAGTGCATTGTTTTTTGGTGCAAAATACTTGAATGGTATTTTGTGTTTCTGCTTTGGCTGTTTTCATATAAATCAGTCTCTGCCTCCATTGCTTCAAGTGCTCTATCTTCCTTCTTTGATTCTATCGATGCCATCCCATTCTTGACTACTTGTGTTTTTCTTTTTTCAATTTCTTGAAGTATTTTTACAGCAGGAATTAATTGATGTTCTTGGATTTTGGAAGGTTGTGATGAAATGGAATTTCTGAGCAGTCTCTTGGGAATTCTTGGCTTTGGAATTGGATTCTTGCTTGGTGTTCTTATTGGATTTTATTTCTTCATCTACTCTCAACCCACTGATGTTGAGGTATGTAATAAGAAGTGTTAATTTTGTTTAATAAGGGTTGGTTTTATTTTCCATCTCTACGTGTGCATATGTTTCAATTTTACTTCTGTTAAATTTATTTCCATCATCATAGCTTTGCTGTAATGCTGACTGGATTTGATTAATTACTTCTTTCATTATCTACAACTTCTTGCGGGCCTGTTATATGTGCATACAAAAAGACTCCATTTGTGTGTGTTAATAGGCTGAGTTGGTATGGTTGATTTTTTTTTTTTTTTTTTTTTTTTTTTTTTAAAGCTAGTGAGATGATGTTACAAAGCTATGACACCAAAAAGAAAGTTTTGGCTTTTTTAATATGAGATTTAAGTAAAATAGAAGTTCTACTATCGTTTATACATTCATGAATATGTTTTTCATTAAGCAAAAAAGGTAGATTAAAAGAACAAATGAAGAATGAGTATATTAATGGAACACAACACTGTAAGATGGCAATGAGCGAATGTGGTGATTTGATTACATTGAGCAAAGGAAAAACCTTCTCTTGGCTTACGAGAAGTAAACACATCAAACTTGTTTTGTCAAGTCGATCCTTTTTGGAATTCATTTCGGTTTGTGTATTGGTCAATAATTGAAAATTCCTCCGTAACTAGTGCAGTTTTAAATTTCCTGCAATAGTTATGATACTGACTTTATTGGAATGAGTTCAGGATCCTGTTGTCAGTCCTCTTTGTGAGCTTGATACAGATGCATTACAAGATCTTATTCCGGATATTCCATTGTGGGTTAAAAGTCCAGATTATGATCGAGTACGTATTTCCTTTCAGTCTATTTTATTTGCTTTCTTTCCATTTATATGAATGAATTGCTTGTGTTGCAGGTAGACTGGTTAAACAAATTTCTTCAGAACATGTGGCCTTTCCTTGACAAGGTACCTTTAAACTTTTTGTATTTCAGTCTTTTCCGAGATGCACTCTGTTGATTTACTTAGTCTATCTAACATACAGGCTATTTGTAGCACAATTAGAAGCGTCGCAGAGCCCATATTTGCAGAATACATAGGGCAATATACTATAACAAAAATTGATTTTGAGACGCTAACCCCTGGAACTCTTCCGCCAGTACTTCAAGGTCAGTTTCTGTTAGTTTCTCTAATTCTCCTTGAACTAATTTCTATATATTCTCTATTTTGTTATGACTTTCTCCTGATGCTATATTAAAATTTAGGATCTCACACAGGATGAATTAACAAAAGAAGAGAAGATTAAGGTTGTTAAATTATACAATTACATAGAAAACAAGGGACACGTATCAATCTCATATTTTTTGACAACCAAAGATATAGCAAAGAGATTTTCAAAAGAAATCCGAAGTTAAATGATATCTTATCTTTGAAGTGTCTCTGAGTTAAAATTCTCACAAGATTTTTGATGGACGCTTATATATTTTGCGTATATCTCTTTGATATCAACTTTGTTTGTCTGAAATTCTGTTTGTTTGTTTGAGAAGAAAATTCAGACAATTTGAATTCAGTTCTCAGTCAGATTCATTATCCTCTGAACATTGTAGAGCAAAATTAATTTTCTTTTTCACTTCACATATTGGCAGGTCTCAAGGTATACGAGACAAATGAGAGGGAGTTAGTGATGGAACCAGCAATTAAATGGGCAGGCAACCCAAACATCGTGGTGGTGGTAACTTCATCATCTTTACAGAATCTAAAGATCAAATTGCAGGTCAGTACTATCACAGAAAGAATCATCCCTAAAATAATGTAGTAGTTAATATAGTTTCTGAGTGATGTGCTAATTTACATACTGGTGAATCTTCTTTACAGTTGGTGGACTTACAAATTTTCGTTGCACCACGTGTTACTTTGAAACCTCTTGTACCCAGTTTTCCATGTTTTGCTAATATAACGGTATCTATAATGGAGAAGGTAATCTGAATATTTCCATTTTTCCTTTTCATGCATGAATATTGAGGTCACTGAACAATGTAAACTTTTGTTTTTGTTAAGCCACATGTTGATTTCGGACTGAAGGTTCTTGGTGGGGATGTTATGGCGATCCCTGGACTTTATCGATATGTTCAGGTACTAGATTACTGGATAATTTTCTTAGCATCTCTTTGTGTTTGTTCCACTCAATATTACAGCTATGTTTCATACATTTTGGCAGGAGATTATAAAGAAACAAGTGGCAGTCCTTTATCACTGGCCTCAAACTCTTGAAATACCAGTTCTTGATGCTTCATTGTGAGAAACCATTCTCTTGTTTCTCTTACTTCTTATTGAAGATCTCGTGCTTTTACCTTTTTATTTGGTGTTGCCCTTCATAAAGTTGCATGACTTTATAGGGTGGGCATAAAGAAGCCTGTTGGGATATTGCATGTTAAAGTGGTAAGAGCAATGAAACTCCTGAAGATGGATTTACTGGGATTATCTGATCCTTATGTTAAGCTAAGCTTGAGCGGAGACAGCCTGCCTTCTAGAAAAACCTCCATCAAGAAGAAAAACCTGAATCCCGAGTGGAATGAAAGCTTCAAGCTTACTGTGAAGGATCCACAGTCCCAAATTCTTCACTTAGACGTCATTGATTGGGACAAGGTTCGTCTTTCACCCATTCTATTTAATTCCTCCATTTCCGATTTGAGCCTGAAGATACCTGAAATTTGGAGAAGAAGATTTGATACTCCCTCCTTTTCAATTTATGTGGCGTAATTTGATTGGACTAAAAGTTTAAGAAAGAAAGAAAAACTTTTAGAACTTGTGGTCTTAAACATGTCATGAGACTTCAGTGGCTAAAAAGACATACCATTAATGGTAAAATAGAAAGTTTGAAATTAAATTATTTCAAAAAATGGAAATGTATCATTCTTTTTTTAATGGGCCAATAAGGAAATAGTGCCACATAAAGTTGTCTCCTAATTGGTAATGGTTCATCAAGAGAGAAGCTTTAGCCTGAAAACATAACTGCTAATGGCTGCAAAAGTATCATTAGCCACTAATTCTTGAAAGTAATGACTTCTAGTTATTATTTAAAGGTCTAAGAATGACATACATTTTACAAGGATTTTTTCCATAAGGTGAACTAAAGTGGCATTTTGCTGATGTGCTGCACTTCTATATGCAGGTGGGAGCACACGACCGGCTGGGGTCACAATTACTTCCTTTAAAGCTTCTACAACCAAATGAAACAAAGGAATTCACTCTAGACTTACTTAAGAACTCAAGTATAAGTGTCGCACATGACAAGAAGCAGAGAGGGCAGATTGTTGTTGAGCTGACATATGCCCCTTTCAGAGAGGATACTGATGGTATGAGTGGGCCTTTAAATAGCTTCAGTTGGAAGGAGAATGGGTTGGAAACGATATCCGGTAATGATAGTCCAAGGGGAGCAGGTTTGTTATTTGTTACTGTCCAAGGAGCCAAAGATGTAGAGGGCTCACGTCACAATAATCCATATGTGGTCATATTTTTCAGAGGGGAAAAGAGAAAATCCAAGGTAACATCTAATATCCAAGCAATCCAACCCCTAATGACTTGATCAAAGGATAACGTAAGTTAAAGACATCAACTAGTTTAGTTAGTCGGGAAACTCCAGAACAATCTTCGGGTGCACTAGAGAATTCAGAATATATGAACACGATAATTTGAAATATTGAACAGCTAACTACTAGAAGACTATCAGTCTAGGTTCCCTTTGTATGTATTGTCAGTATCATAGACTCGCATAATTCTTGTTCATTCAGATGGTTAAAAGAACTCGTGATCCTCAATGGTGTGAAGAGTTCCATTTTATGCTGGAAGAGCCTCCTGTCCATGAGAAAATCCATTTAGAGGTTTTGAGTAAGCGAAATGGCATCAGCTTTCGTTCAAAGGTACTTTAGAATTACATGCATGTGATTCTTCTCCTTTTGTTTCTCCCTACATTTAAAAGTTAATTGGCTGATTCTTCTCGTCAATTTATTCAGGAGTCGCTTGGACATGTCGACATCAACCTTGATGATGTAGTTCACAATGGACGTATAAACGAGAAATACCATCTAATAGATTCAAAGAATGGAGTCATACATGTTGAGTTGAGATGGAAGAGCATATGAGAAACAATATCAAGGTCCTGAGATTTACAGCATTTCTCGGATATTTAAAAAAACAGAAAAAAGTTTTCAAAAGTGATTTATTAAAGAGAGATCATTGAATCATGCATTATCTCATTTTTGTAAATTTTCCCCTCTTTTGAATCTTTAGATGATGCATGATCTTTGTTGGTTCTTGAAGTCTCTATTCGTTCAATAGTCACATCTTTGATATAGTGATAATACCGTTGCCCTTTTTCTGTAATTTTATACACAATTATCAAATACACGCGCGCGCGCACATATTCACTCACTCTTCTCCCTTTTTCTTGTGTGCCATTTGTTTAGGTTCATATTGGGTGTGGGCATGAGAAAGAGTTTTTCTGAACTCTTGGGCAATTATGCACGGGAGAAATTCAAAAATAGCCAGATTTACAAGTGCTCATTCAAAAATAGCCACAATTTCAAAAGTCATCGAAATTTAGCCACTTTTCATGTAAAGATAAATCTGGACGAAAACACTGTTCAAAATCCGAAAAACAGGTGCATCGAACTCCAGTATATTATGCTGGATCGGTCTCTGTTGCAGCAAAATAGTGACTATTTTTCAATGACTTGGCAGACGCTGGCTATTTTTGAATGATCAGTCCGAAAACTGGCTAGCCCGTGCTATTATATCATTATGCATATGACCTAACGTTGATGTGGATGATAACAAAGCATTTCTTACTCGTGAAGGTGTAGATACTTAGCTTTAATTTGTCTGTTAAAATGTAATACTATAGCTTTTGCCCTTGAGAATTGGTTGGTTATAGCGAGAGAGAGTTTGACGATCTAGTACATATCATACTTCCAACAGTATTCCATCTACATAAATAGAAGCAATCAAGAAATGCTTATGCCTATGAATGTTGTGGATAATATGTTCAGTTATTGACTTGAAGAAAATAAAATATTTTGGCTTGTTTTTGGAAAAACAAGAAACACTTCATTAGCTGTATATCCAATCACAAACTAAAAATAAAGATATTAGGCAGTCCCCAAAGGGAAAGTAATTAATAAGTTTCTGAACGTGTCTGAAGAAATGAATTTTGGACATAACTCAACCTAAAATCTAATCATGACTCCTATTAAAAAAATTTCAGTCGTTTTTTGGCTGCTAATATATTGTTTAAAGTTTATTACATCTTCTGGAGATCCGTTTCTTATTATTTTAATGTTCAAAAATTGCTCATGACCATTTCCAATGGCCTGGAGGTTACTTGGTTAAGTCCCCAGAAAAAAATGAATTTTTCTTTGTAGTTGTTAATTAGTGTACGTTTTCAAGAATTTACAAGATTAGCCTGTTTGGCCAAGCTTCAAAATCAGCTTTTTTTGAGAAGTGATTTTTCCAAAAGTGCTTTTCAAACAAATACTTTTTGATAAGAGGCCGTTTGTGTTTGACTAATTAATTTTTGAACAACAATTAATGTTTGACTAAACTTTTAAAAAGTGTTTTTAAGTTTAATTTTCTTAGAAATCCTGTTCAAAAAGGGGAAAAACTAGTTCTACTCAAAAAATACTTTTTCCATTTAAAAGTTTGACCAAAAAGGCTATTAGCCTTTTTAGTTGTTGAAGGAACATCACGATTCAGGTGTTTAAAAGTTCACTATTAATGTAGAAGCCTAATCAACACTTTGATTGTGGAAGTTTAATAATTTTCATCTATAAATAGGCACACCTCTCACACATATCAACATAGCACAAGAATTAATTGTTTGAAAGCAGAGATTTTAATTTCGATGGCTCTCAAGTCCTTTATATTGACCATTGCCATGGGAAGGTGTTTTATCTTTAAATGAAGATGTCAACAACTTAGCCCGTATTGACTTTGGACCATATGGTCTCAAATCACCACATACACTATCACGATCCGGACTTCCCCACCCTCGGGAGTCGTGATGACGCCTACTCGTGAAAGCTAGGCAAGCCGAGTATTATAGATTCACTAACTCTTTTATTTAGCCCTTTTTAACAGTTTAAAACAACATACTATCAACAATGAAATATTAACAATAATTAAAGACACGCGGAAGACGCAATCCGATAACTTAGCCAAAAACAAGTACGACAATACCAAGTACATCTCTACCCGGAACTGGTGTCACAATATCACGGATCATCTACGAATATTACAAACAATTGTCTAAAAAGAAAGGTACAATCTGTCTCTGAAGTAAATGAAAACAGAATATAAAGATAGAAGAGAACGCCGGGGCCTGCGGACGCCTGCATGACTACCTCGGGATCTCTGACTGGACTGAAGCCACCCACCCAAAGCTATGGTCCAAAAGTTGCCGCTCCTGGATCTGCACACAGTGTGGAGTGTAGTATCAACACAACCGACCCCATGTGCTAGTGAGAGCCAGGTCTGACCCCGGCAAAGTAGTGATGAGGCTAGGACCAGACTACCAAATAAATATGTGCAGTTATATTATATACAGCGGAAAATAAAACAGAAATAAACAATTAAAGATGGGAGGGGGACATGCTGCGGGGGAATATCATTTACCAACAGTAATTTAAGAGAAAAGCATAAAGAACAATTTAAAACTTACAGCAAAAGAATAAGGAAATCGTAACCAATCAATAAACACTTTTATTATCTATTGTTGCGGCGCACAACCCAATCCAAATCATAAAAACACTGTTGCGACGTGCAATCCTATCCATATCATTTATCATTGTTGCAGCGTGCAACCCGATCCAATTATATTATTGTTGCGGCGTGCAACTAGTTGCAAATATAATATTGTTGCGGCGTGCAACCCAATTCAAATATAATATTGTTGCGGTGTGTAACCCGATCCATATCATGCAATTCAACACCAATCACAAAAGAGTCCCGGCAAGGGAACGATAAGGAGACAACACTATCCCGACAAGGGAATCGGTAGTACAAGTAAATACGTCCCGGCAAGGGAATCAGCTATAACCAAACTTGTTCCAATCATCTAACTTCATAAAGAATTTCAACTAACACCAATGCCCAACCATAAGCAATTTCCAAGAGAATAACCATAATTCTTGCTCAACACATAGAATCAACAACTTAGGCATTCGTAGTACTTATTAAAAACGCAACAATTTCAATTTAAGACTCACGGTCATGCTTGACACCAACGTATAGATACTCGTCACCATGCCTATAAGTCGTACTCAACAAGTAACACATAGCAAATAGGACACAACTCCTAATCCCTCAAGCTAAGATTAGACCAAACACTTACCTCGAACTTCCACGGCCAACTCAAGCCTTAAACACCGCTTTTCCTTTAGAATTTGCCTCCAAACAACTCGTATCTAGTCCAAATTGATTTAACAACATCAATAAATTCTAAAGAATTCACACCCAATGCTTAATTATAGATTTTCTATCATTTTCCCCAAAAAGTCAAAAATCAACCCCAGGCCCGCTTGGTCAAAACACGAGGTTCGAACCAAAACCCGATCAACCATTCACCCACGAGCCCAAATATACAATTAGTTTCGAAATCCGACCCCAAAACGAGGTCTAAATCGCAATTAATCAACAAGCCCTAACTCTACCCAAATTCCTATTTTCTACCATAAAACCCTAGATTTTTGGGATGAAAATCGATGAAATGCAATGGGAAGTCAAAAGAAAAAGGTTTAGAATCATTTACTAGTGTTTTAGGGAAGAAATTGTTCTTTGAAAATCGCCTCAATGCTCCCAAATTTCGAAAATATGAAGTAAATGGGTTCTGCCCGTTTTTACTTCTGTTTTAAAAGAGCTGGGCGACAGTGTTCATCGCGTTCGCGAGAACACTATCGCGATCGCGAAGAGCTGCCAAACGTGGACTTTCATGATCGCGAGTCTACCTACGCGTTCGCGAAGGGTTGGCCCCCCTGACCTTCGCGTTCGCGGGCCTGTGCACGCGTTTGCGTAGAAGAACGATCACCTCCCAGACCAGCCCCCCATTTACACTACGCGTTCGCGGGAAATGGGTCGTATTCGCGTAGAGTAATTTCACCCCGGCCCAACTTTCCCTTTCGCGATCGCGAAGCACAGAAGGCCTGTGTGTCAGAAACAACAGTTCTGCAATTTTCCTAAGTTCAAAAACCTTTCGAGACCTATCCGAAACTCACCCGAGCCCTCGGGATCCAAACCAAACATGTACACTACCTCAAAAATACCCTACGGACTTACTCGTGCGATCAAATCGCCAAAATAACATCATCGACCATGAATTTAGCATCAAAAACATGAAATCACTTAAGAACCTCAAATTTCCAATTTTCTCAAATACGGTCCGATTCACATCATTTCAAGTCCGTTTCTTACCAAATTTCACAGACTCATCTTATATCACATATAAGACCTGTACCGGGCTCCGGACGAAAATACGGGCCCGATACCATCAAATTTTAAACACATTTCATTTCCAAAAACTCATAAATATTCAAGAAAATAATTTTCTTTAAAAATTCATTTCTTGGTCTTGGGACCTTCGAATTCGATTCCGGGCATATGCCCAAGTCCCATATTTTCCTACGGACACTCCGGGACCTTCAAATCACGGGTCCGGATCCTTTTACCCAAAATGTTGACCGAAGTCAACTTAAATTCATTTTAAAGGCAAATATTCATCTTTTTTTCACAGATTTCACATAATGGCTTTCCGGCTACGCTCCCGGACTGCGCATGCAAATCAAGGTGATACTAAAAGAGGTTTTTAAAGCCTTGGAACACATTATTTCTAAAACAAGTGATGACCTTTTGGGTCATCACATTCTCCACCTCTAAAACAACTGTTCGTCCTCGAATGGACATAAGAAGGAAGTACTTGAGTCGGGGAAAAGGTAGGGATAATGGATCCGCATATCGGACTCGGACTCCCAGGTCGATGCCTCGGCAGGCTGAGCTCTCCACTGAACACGAACGTAAGGGAAACTCTTTGATCTCAACTGACGAACCTGTCGGTCTAGGATAACTACCAGCTCCTCCTCATAGGATAAGTCCTTTTCCAACTGGACAGTACTGAAAACTAACACGTGGGATGGATCACCGTGATACTTCCGAAGCATGGACACATGAAACACTGGATGTACGACTGATAAGCTCGGCAGTAACGCAAGTCTGTAAGCCACCTCCTCACTCAATCAAGTATCTCAAAAGGGCAACCTAGGTCTAAGCTTGCCTTTCTTCCCAGATCTCATCACGCCCTTCATAGGCGACACTCGAAGCAATACCCGCTCACCGACCATGAAAGCCAAATCACGAACCTTACGGTCAGCATAACTCTTTTGCCT